ATGTTGAATTTTTTTGAAAAAGTTTTTTTAATTCCAAACATCTTTTAAAAATGTGAATTATTTTTGGAATTTCAAACAATTTTTTGTATCCCAAATAGTTTTTATAATGTCAAACAATTTTTGGAAATTTCAAACATGTTTTGAAAAACATGAACACTATTTTTGAAGCACGAATATTTCTTGGAAAACATGAACATTTTTTGAAATACCAAATAAACCTGGGGGGAATAGTTTTTGGATCCGTGAACAATTGTTTTTTAAACAGGGCATTTTTTTAAACTCCAATTCTTTTAAAAGAGTGATTTATTTTAAAGTGGCAAACATTTTTTAAAATAATGAACATTTTAATTGAATCACCAATTTTTCTGAACATTACAAAAAAATAGAGAAAAAAAGAAGCAGAAAAAAACAGAAAAACCCCGGTTCCCACAAACTGTGGTTACACTGAAAGTGGGCTGCGCCATCTAGCGCACAGATGTTGATTCTTCCAATTCTGACTTGAATGAAGAGAAAACGTAGCCTACATAGCACACGGGGACAACAGGCTCCATGCCCAACGCAGGGATCACGTATTTGCACGAAATTTAGAGAACCTGATCGTGCGATAGATAACTTGGATGAGCCATAGCTAAATCTAATGTAAATGGGAATTAACAGATCTGTACAGCATAGTGGCATACGGAACTGTTTTCTGAGTGCTGAAGGCACGCGTTAAAATTCGAGGAGAGATGCATCCACCGACCGAACGATAATAGTACGAGAATCCAAGACGACATAGCTGATCGATCATTCAGTACGACTCGTCACTCATGCTGCTGCTAATGATATCTGCCTCGATCTTCCCCGCGACCGCCGGTGCCACCACGGCCGTGGTGACCGTGACCGCAGCCTCCCCGCCGTTTCGCGAGACGGTGGCCGCCAGGACGGGCACGCGGTGCCGCTGGAACACCTGGAGCACGCGCGTGAGCGCGCCCGGCCTGGCCGCGCGCAGCCGGACGGCGAAGCACGACGTCTCCCCGGCCGCGACCACCTCGGCGCTGCCGCCGCGTGCGCGGCGGCTCCGCCCGGCAGACATCGCCCTGTGCGCCTCGAGCTCGGCGGCCGTGTCCTCCAGCGCCCTGACGTACGCGATGGCCCCGTCGACGACGTCCGCCCTGCACGCCTGCGCCGTGCACGGGCATGAGCTAGATGCCTCGATCGGCAGACACAAACGCCGGAGAAACAAAAAGAACAGTCGCCAAGAACGGGAACGAGCGGACAAGAGAACGAACCCGATGGGGGAGGTCGGGGAGCAGCGCGCCCAGCTCGTCGAAGAGCACGGACATGGTCTGCCGGCGCGCGCGCTCCAGACGGGGTGACCTGCGCCGCCTGGACGCCCCCGCGCGAGTCACCTCGACCGTCGTCGTCCCCGGCGAGCTTTCCGCTCCCAGACCCAGAGCCAGCCCCAGCGCCTGCGCCTCCTCGGCCATGACGGGGTAAGATGATCTATCTCGCCGGAGCAACCGACCGGCGCGAGTGCCTCTCTGTTTTTGCGGAGTTGCGAGCCGGGGGTACACTTTGTGTTGGGCAGCGGCTTTGGGGACGGGCATGGTGTCAGCTTTTGAGTTGGTGGTGCCTGCTCCGGAAGGGAAAAAGAGCTGGGCTGGCACGTTGGCGGCAAGGGCAAAAGGAGACCACAAATGTACCCTCGTCCTCCTCAACAAAAACTGCATGGAGTAAGGGCATGTACAATGGTAACATCACCTTATAGCTGCTCCATACTCCACATAGATAAAGCCATGGTCATTCCACAATGGAAGCAGCACGCATCCCTTTTTCTTTGTTGGGTCCACATTCAACCTTTCCTGTCCCACATCCTCTCTTTACCTCCTTTCTTTTTCACCTTGGCCAGCTGCTTTTCATCGAGGAGACCGGTTCCTCTGCAAGATCCCCCCCCTCTCTCTCTCTACAAGCGGTAGCCTTTTTCTAATTCAGGGAATCTAGACCGATGTGGAGTCTGAGGCACTAGTCCAGCGTATAGCCTCGCAGGTGAAGGTGTAGCCTATAGAAGAGCAGGACTCTTCGGCTGTGAGAGCTAAGCAAAAGGGGAAAAGCAGAGGCAACCGTGATGCATGCGAGGAGAGAGACAGAGAGAGAAGAAGAAAATGGCATGCATGTAAAAGGAGAGATGTTGCAAGATGGGGTCCACTGGAGTGCAGCCTCGGTTGGATGAAAAAATTCACAAACGATAGTTTCATTTACTTTTGCTTAGTTTAAGAGCTGGAGCAGCAGCTAAGTGCTGCCTCCATTGTTCCTTATAGTGTCAGGTACTCATCAGGACACAGCCGGGTGTCAAAGGACTTTAGTGAAGTGAGCATGCAGCATCTTTGATCTGAACTCTGGTGCACATTCACATTGGTTGTGAACTTGTGATATATAGACATATAGTGTCACGTATAAGAAACAAGAAAAAGTAGGGGGCATCTGTAGTGTCACGTATTCAGGATACAGCTAGTTGTCAAAGGCTTGGGGTGAAAACTTGGGTGGGCATTCACATTGGTGGTCACATATTGTTCGAAGTAATATTTCACAAACTAACATCAAACAAAGTACAGTGGTTACTACGAAATGACATTTTTTTAAAGACTCGTATCTATTATAAAAATTCATTGAGATTACAAAGCACTTCAACCATAATAATAATTATATCGAGGTCCCGGACCACCGAACAACCACTACCGCTAGAATGTTGAGCTACTACTTCCATAGTCACACATTTTGACTATGGACCAAACATGCCCTTAACCACACTTTTCCTACTAACTCGTGGCATGCCACAAAAAATGTGGTGAACAAATTAGTCGCCACAAGTGTGACGTGATTTGGCAAAAGCATGTGTGTATGATATGTGGGACATACTCCTAAGTAAGTGTGGCATGCCACCACTGTGGCAGTGAAACAAACAACAGCCTTAAGCAGCTGTCACACTTGTGTGCCAACATTTGACAATGTGTGCCTATGAACCAAACACGCAATATGTCACCGGTTCCTCAAGATGATGGAGTAGCAACAGCTCGGGAGAATATCGGGTGGTCCCAAAGCTTAGGTGCTACCATGCTTCGATGCCAAATTTGAAGTATCAAAAACTTCTAAAGAAAATCATGGGCGTTCACAAAATAGGTGTTTACAAACCCTAAAAATTGGAACTTCAAATTTGAAATACACAGAGATACAAAAAAGACAAATTTCATTGTGAATAGTAAAAAAATAGCTTTTTTCTTCTTACGACATTATTCATGTTGAAATCTTATTTTAAAAATATTATTATGTATTATAGGTTTGGAGTTTAAAAAAATAGACGTTGTATACATTTATCTTGTGAACATCTGTAGTTTTTTTTAAAAAAATTGAACCTGCAAATTTGAGTTTTATTTCCGTTGAAACATGATAGCATCAAAGTCTTGGGAGCACGAGATATTCACCCACAACACCTCTGACATTTCTGTTCTGTCACCTACAGTTTCCGGCTTATGTCAACTCGGTAAGAGCATCGGCCCCGTTTAAACGCGAATACGCAATGATACATTGTTAATAAAGAATTACAGAGGTCATGACACCCACATCATCCAAATTTATCAACCACACTTTTCTTACTAAGTCGTGGCATGCCACGAAATATATGGTGAAAAACTTAGTCGCCACAAGTGTGGCATGCCGCCATTGTGGCAGTAAAATAAACAGTAGCCATAAGCAGCTGCCACACTTGCACCAAAGTTTGACAATGTGTGGCTATGAACCAAACACACAATATGTGACCGGTTCCTCAAGATGATGGGGGTGGCAACACCTCGGGAGAATATCTGGCGCTTCCATGACGTAGGTGCTACCATGTTTCAATGTCATAAAACTTAAATTTTGAAGTATCAAAAGCTTCTAAAAGAAATCGTGGATGTTCACAAAATATACAACTCCTAAAATTTCAACTTCAAACTCAAACTACGCATAGAGATACAATGTGAACAGTATATTTAGTTTTTGTCTTCTTGTGACACTATTCATGTTAAAATTGTCGTTTTAAATCTTTTATGTATTTTAGGTTTGGAGTTAAAAATATAGACGTCGTATGCATTTATCTTGTGAATATCTTCATTTTTTATTTTTTAAACTAGAAATTTGATTTTTGTTGTTGTTGGAGCATGGGAGCACGAGATATTCACCTGCGTGCTCTGGCATTTCTTCTTACAGTTTTCGGCTTATGTCAATTCGGTAAGAGCATTCGCTCCATTTAAATGCTAATCTTCTCCCCTGTCAAAGCAAATGAGGATAAACTACCACTTGCTTGCCTGAGGGCATGGCTAATGCATAGCCTAGGGTGAAGCCTCACATACCATGTAGGATCGGATGTCAGAAAAAGTAGATTCGAATAGGGAAGCGGGATCCTCTGCAGGAGGCGGGTGCTTGGAGAGAAAAAGTGTGGTCCGGTGCATAAAGTTGGAAAAGTTGAAGTGGAGAGTAGGCATGCATGTGGTGAGAATCTACTTTATATTCTTTAATGATGTCCACTAGTAATAGCTTGCGTTGAGAAGAAAAAATCATTATAGTTACCTGAAACTATTTGTCATGGGTCATCTATATCCATATGTCACCATTATATATGCTCTTATAGAAAAACTTGATTATGAATAGCAATGATTCATTGTAAATAAAGAATTACAGAGGTCATCACATTACAGTTCATCACACCTACATCATCCAAACCGTGTGGCCAGCTGGTAATCGTTGTGGGGCGCATTGGTAGAGGCCAAGATAAGAGCACCAGGTAAGTACTCTACTTAAGGCTTGTTCGGAGGCCCTCTGCTCCTCGACTCCGCTCGCGGAGCTGCTGGAACCGCAGTTAAAAATTACCGAGCGGATGAATCGGTGCTCTACAGATCTTTCTACTTTGCAGAGCTGGTCGAGTGCTGAACGGGCTCTTATTACCGGCGTCAAACAGAATAATAATAATATAAATGTTTGTTGGACTAATTAGCTCGTCGAATTTCTCTCAGGACAATCCCAAGCGCACGATCATCAACCAGAATGGCCGTGTGATTCACGTTGGCCACCTTGACCATCCTAAAATAAGGACCACGACGCCTCCACTCCGGCTCCACGGCGACCAGGCTCGCCAGGTTGACCAGGCCGTCGCTGTCCCCAACGTCCACGCCGGGCGTTGCCTCGAAATCGTCCCCCAGGTACACCATCCTCTTAGGCGTCGCCAACCCGACCCCCACGACGTAGGTCACCGGCACCATCGGAGAGGTCGGCAACTCCTTGAACAGCAGCAGCACACGCGACTCTTATGGCCCGACGCCTTCCCCGAACCCAATGTTGACGAGGAAGTCCACCACGTCGCCGGCTGAGTAGTTCCGACGCTTGGTGCTCACCAGCGGCTGCGCGGCCCCGAACACCTTCGCACTGGGTAGCGGCCACAGGCTGCTCTGCAGGCTGCGGTACTCTTTCCGCAGGGCCTCGGGGTCGACGAAGGGGAGGGCGAGGTTTTTGCCTGAGATGAGGGCCTGCATGCCCAGCACGAGCCTGCCCCATGGAGCGGCGACGGGGATGAAGTGCCTCACGAACCGCCGGCGCCACGCCAGGGGCTGCTGGATCAGGAACTGGTGCGCCAGCGTGCCACCATAGCTGTGGGTGACGATAATCGCCGGGCGGTCACCGTTGAGCTGGCTCGCCCTCTCCACCAGGCTCTTGAGGTTCGTGAAGAACGCGGTGCCGGTTCTCGATGGATGTCCCGCCGCCGCGACGGTGTATCGGAAGTCGTAGGGCGCACCGAACATGGTCTCGCCGTCGCGGTACCCGACCCCCTCGAGCCTCTCTAGGAGCTTGTCCGTGTAGGAGAAGTTCCTCCGGTCTGGGTCTGGGTGGTGAAAGCCCTGGGTGGAGCCGAAGAAGGGGACGTGCGTCTAGACGCCGGGAACGTTGCGGTAGTCGTCCATGCAGCGTCGTACGCCTTGCTATACACACCTTTTGAGAAGGACACGTTTTAATCGTGAATTTATTAAAATACTTTATGTGCTTCGCTTATATCTTTTGAGCTAGGCAGTTTGTTCTTGTGCTTTACTTATATTTTTTTAAAGCACGGCGACGGCTTACTTTATAGAAATTGTTGAACTCTCATGCTTCATTTATATTATTTTGAGAGCCTTTAAACAACATAGTAATTTGCTTAGGTTGTGAATTTAGTCCTAATATGATGGGCATCCAAAGGGATATAATAAAAACTTTCATATAAAGAGCATTGAATATATGAGAAGTTTGATTCCTTGCATTTGTTTTGAGATATAAAGATGGTGATATTAGAGTCATGCTAGTGAGTAATTTGTTGAGGAACGCAATAATTTTTTTTAAAAATTACGCACACGCAAGATCCATCTAGGTGATGCATAGCAACGAGACGCGAGAGTGTTGTCCATGTACCCTTGTAGACCGTAAGCAGAAGCGTTATGACAACGCGGTTGATGTAGTCGTACGCCTTCACGATCCAACCGATCCTAGCACTGAAGGTACGACACCTCCGCGATCAGCAGACGTTCAGCTCGGTGACTGCTACCTCTTTAGCACTGCGTTGGTTTTCCCCGAAGAGGAAGGGATGATGCAGTAAAGTAGCGTAAGTATTTCCCTCAGTTTTTTGAGAACCAAGGTATCAATCCAGTAGGAGGCTACGCGCGAGTCCCTCGCACCTGCACAAAAAAAATAAATCCTTGCAACCAACGCAAATAGGGGTTGTCAATCCCTATAGGGCCACTTACGAGAGTGAGATCTGATAGATATGATAAGATAATATTTTTGGTATTTTTATGATAAAGATGCAAAGTAAAATAAAGGCAAAGTAAATAACTAAGTAGTAGGAGATTGATATGATAAAGATAGACCCGGGGGCCATAGGTCTCACTAGTGGTTTCTCTCGAGAGCATAAGAATTCTACGGTGGGTGACAAATTACTGTTGAGCAATTGACAGAATTGAGCATAGTTATGAGAATATCTAGGTATGATCATGTATATAGGCATCACGTCCGAGACAAGTAGACCGACTCCTGCCTGCATCTACTACTATTACTCCAGTCATCGACCGCTATCCAGCATGCATCTAGAGTATTAAGTTAAAAACAGAGTAACGCCTTGAGCAAGATGACATGATGTAGAGGGATAGACTCATGCAATATGAAGAAAACCCCATTTTGTTATCCTCGATGGCAACAATACAATACGTGCCTTGCTTCCCTTACTGTCACCAGGAAAGGACACCGCAAGATTGAACCCCAAGCTAAGCACTTGTCCCATTGCAAGAAAGATCAATCTAGTAGGCCAAACCAAACTGATAATTCGAAGAGACTTGCAAAGATAACCAATCACACATAAAAGAATTCAGAGAAGATTCAAATATTATTCATAGATAGACTTGATCATAAACCCACAATTCATCGGTCTCAAGAAACACACCACAAAAAGAAGATTACATCGAATAGATCTCCACAAGAGAGGGGGAGAACATTGTATTGAGATCCAAAAAGAGAGAAGAAGCCATCTAGCTACTAACTATGGACCCGTAGGTCTGAGGTAAACTACTCACACTTCATCGGAGGGGCTATGGTGTTGATGTAGAAGCCCTCCGTGATCGATGCCCCCTCTGGCGGAGCTCCGGAACAAGCCCCAAGATGGGATCTCGTGGATACAGAAAGTTACCGCGATGGAATTAGGGTTTTGGCTCCGTTTCTGGTCGTTTGAGGGTACGTGGGTATATATAGGAGGAAGAAGTACGTCGGTGGAGAAACAGGGG